TTCAGAATATTCTCCATAGTGGGAGAACGGAATCTATTAAAAAATAAAAGTCTTACAAATCAAAATAATAATGCGATCTTCTTTGCGAGTGTAATTGATTATTGTCAATTTTAAATCTTCTAAAGTAAAATTTAGTTGCGAATGAAAAGCCTAAAACTGGAAAGAAATTTTAACTTCCTTATTTACTTGAGGTGGAATTAAATTCTGCTTAGAACACCCAGCTGCTAAAAATGCGTTTATTGTACATGAGCTTGCTATATCTTATAAATAAACTGAAAGAGTCTAATTAAAATCAATATTTATTGTACTAGAAACTTCTAATAAAAGAAAAACAAATAATATAAAAAATTTAAAATCAATTTCTACTTAGATCAACAACAACAAAACACAATTATTTTAGTTACTTTTTATTAACATTTATTAAACTGCATAGTTTGATTTTCCTTGTTTCATCTTATACAATTACGTGTTTTCTTTATTAAATTTATTATATTAATTATTACTAATTATATTATTTGATGTACAAGTATTGATGTTTACTTACGATGCAATAATATCATAACAATTTTTTATTCCACCAATTAGCTTTGTTAGTTTTAATAGCTTATTTTAAATATAAGACTTTATGTTCGCTGTTCTTTAATTCTAAGGAGTTAATTCTAATATACCTTAGTTTAAAATTAAATAAATAATTTAAAAGCATAGTTTAAAATTGTTTCAGGTGTTGAACTCAAATCTGCATCACAATTTATTTTTAACTTTTACTTTTTTAATTACTTATTAAACTTTTGAAACTTCACTGGAATTGATTTTAATATGTGAAAAAACTGTATTAACATCAAGTGTCATCCACTACAAGTTTAAAAAAATGTATTTGAACCTGAATGGATGAATAAAACGTATTTTATTAACGACTGAAAATTTGACCAAGTTATAGGGAGAGTGTGAGCTAATAGTAGGAATTTAAAAACTGTGACCATTTTTTTCAATAATGTATTGAAACCCATTTCGAAAATATATGAAAACATTTAAAGCACTTAAAACAATGGAAACGAGAGAAAAAGTCTTCTACCTCGAGATGTTTGGTGGCAAAGAAAAAGGGGTGGAAATCACCCGGATCCGTCTCCCGGGGTATTTTGCATGAAAACTGCAACGGAACATCCCCTGCTCAAGAGTATAAAATTGGACGTCTTCTGTGGTGCACCCTAGACAACGTTCTGAGTTATGAGATGGCTTAATGACGAATGGATTGGGCCTTTCTTGACGAATACTTAAATAGTATCCGGTCGTTAATGGTGGAAGTATATCTTGTTCTCCCACTCACATTGTTAGACTGCCATTGCGCATATAAATCTGTTACTTATATGCATTCTGTTATTATATGCATAAAACTTACTTCCAAAACCTTTTTCTGTCAATCACAGTTCTTTGGAAACAATAAGAAAAATATCTTTAACGTTTCGTACTAACTGATAGGATAATTCATCATCGACGGGATTGTTGTCCTAAAAGGCAGAAGGTAGTTTTTAGCGTTATAGTAAAGCACAGAAATTCTAAGCAAGCATTTTTTTAAAAATTAAGATTATACTTGATAATAAGTTAACTTTTAAAGATTTTATTAACAATGTACTATAAAAAACGAAAATTGCATTCATGTGTCGAATTTCACTATGAAGGAGGAATTCAGTACGTCTTCAGCACTAATGGTTAATTTTTTTTAGAGTAAAACAAATTTCTTTTTACAAACAATAGATGTTTATGAAAAAAAATAACTTTTGATCTGCGTATGAAGCTATCACCTAACTTGCTGAGCAATACTTCGAACGACTGTAAGATTTGAAAATTGATTCAGCCATTTTGTTGTAAAACGTCACATAATATGTTCATGTGATTATATTTTTGGGCTTTGTTTGAGATATTGATATTTGTTTGAGGTATTGATATGCCATGATGATCTAGGTAATCTTTGTACCGTGGACAATAAATATGTTCGTGGTGAAAACTTACATACTCTGTATATCTCACAACTTCTCTAGCAGCCAGTGATAATTAAACTCATGGCCATTTCCAGTTACGTTCATTTCTTTACGTACCGAAGTGCTAAAAATCAGGTATATCAGTTTTTAAATCTTTGAAGTATAGAAAACTGGACTCCACGAGTAGTACGTCTAAGTATTCTGTAGCCGACGAAACCGTAATTCCTGCAGAATAGTCCTTAGGAAATGCAGGAATTCTGTGTTCCACGGTGCTTCGAATCACTACGAGATGCATTCCGTAATTTTAGAACTGATAGCCAATGTGGCTATGGTAAGACTCCAAACTTAGATGGGCCCACCAGCTGCCGAGCGCTAAAGTCGCTGAGCACTGGTAGCTCGGTCCGAGGTTCGAATCCCGCGAACGGGCTGGCTGCATGGGTGTTTTCGTGGTTTTCCCCATGTGTAACTGTATACGAGCCAGTTTCCCTTAGAAAGTCCTCCACGAAGGCATCCCTCCCCTTAGGCAGATAGCCCTAGTGTGCTTTGCCATAATTAAATACACCACACCGCCAAACTTAGATGAGGGTTCCTCTAACTTAAATTTGGTACCTAAGTTTGTGGGACTGCGCATTGGCCTGTCAGACGAATTAAATTAGTCAAAATGAAGGCAAAACCTGAAAGGGTGCTTAGTTACAATGATCCGAAAAAGAACGCACACACAGAATTCACTTACCGAAGATGTTTAAAGTAATACCATAGAGCTCATTCAAATGCAGCTAAGCAAAGTTCATACAGTTCAGAAGCCACCACAGCTTATACAGTGTTGACATGAAGCATACATGAAATGAGGGTTTGTTATCAATACGTATATTCTTCCATCTATCCAAAGCAGCCGGAAATGCGATTGGTCTGACCAAATTACCTTTTTTCGAATCATCAAATGACGGTACCAGAATCCCCAAGCCTAGGTGAATTTCTGTATCGTGCTTTAATCAAGGGAACTCAGGTTGAAAGGTCAATATTGAGGGCTTAATATTGGCTTTAATATTTTTCGAAATACATTGGTTTCTAAAGTCAATGTTAATGTTATAAAACGAAATATATTGGCTTAATAAATATATTTATTTATACATAATACGAAGTATATTGCTTTCTAAAGCCATATAAATATATTGGTTTAAATATTGGTTATATATACATATATATTATATATTGGCGAATTATATTGGTGTTATTATATATTGGTGAAATATATTGGTTTCCAATACTGGACTTAGAAACCGATATATTTCGGGCTTAATATTGGTTACAATATTGGCTTCAGAAACCAAAATCGGCTTCTAAAGCCAATATTATAACGGGAACGTTTTCACAGTTTTCACGCTTTTGCTTGTTGAGCATTGTATCCGAATGTATATGCTTTCTCGAATAGGGTAGTGGCTTGGGGCAATGTTGTACCTCTGTCGCATGAGCACATACTAGTCATGCTCAACCAAAGATATTTTATTACCGTAAAATTTTGGTGGAATTCTTGCGGTCACGGTATATTCTTGAAACTGCCCATATGAAGTTCACAAACTTCATGTGTCTAAATACAGATTTCGTTTCTACCTTGAAGTATTGTGACCCATCTCACGAGTAAAAATCACTTAAATTGTAAACCCTTACCATTATTTTAACGGAAACAGTTTTACAAAACATTTTCCGATGTCTGTCACTTTAAATGCGTACTGTGGGCACTATTAGAAACGCACATAGGTTGTATTGTATTAGTACGATGTTTTCTGTATAAGCACCCATTTGTACAAGTGTTTTGGTGTTTCGTTGCATTTATTTTCCGCTACTATTTCAAATCATATATCAAAACTAATCAATGAAACTCACGCAAAAGCGTTAGCATCTTGTGTAGGAACTCCTTATTAACTAAATAATCATAACTTAACGTCATTTATTGGATTACCATTTCTTCTATTTATGATTCAAATCCTTTGGAATTCGCATCTTTGAACTTTTTCCAAAATATATCTTTTCATAAAATTTACATATATCAGCTTACTAAAAAGATGAATTGTTTAAAACAGCACGAAATATTTTTCAAAACACTGTATTGTAAGCACTATTCATCCTTTCATTTCTTGCTTCACATTTTAACTATTAGGCCATAAGACACATTTTAAGTTTATAAATTCTCAGTCTTAAAAATAATAAATAATTCAGTTCGCAAACCTATCCTTAAAACATAATTAATAAAGAAAATACCATTATTAAACTAGTGTATTAACCCGAATATAAAACACTTCGCACGTAAGACCACCGATGTCTTCAAAAATGAGTCTTCTGCAGCAAAAGAAAAGACTTTTATACACGGTTTACGGTACAAACATAGCGGAAGAAAATAATGCGTCAGTAAAATATCGGCGCATAAAAAATCGTGAGAGAAGGGGGGAAAAAAGAAAGAGAAAAAAAAATCTGAAAGATTTTAAATTATGTCCGAAGGGGCGTTTTTGTTTTACATTTAATGTGTTACCTTCCTTTATTAAATATAATATTCTTCGCACTTAAAGCATAAAATTCAATTCAACAGAAATATCGCAAAATGATTTTAAAATGAGCATATCTTTAGAATTTCCGATACACAGTTTCGCGCGCTGGAGATAGAAATGTTTTTTTCTGTACAACGTTGCCATGGCTCGCTTTGAAATCGTTTAGTTTGATAAAAAAAAAATCGTTTGAATTGTTACAAATATATAAAATTAAATAATAAAACAAATTTCAAATTCAAATTAGGGCTTCTACATGTCCATATTCTATGGAAGATTACGTTATTCAATTTTTTATGGTTCTAGGTACCGTTGTTTTATCACAATGCGAGAAACATATATACATTCATGCAGATTGTCCATTATTTAATTTCTTTAAATATAATACAGGGCGATAACGTTTGGTGGCAACAATCTAAAAAGTGAAACAAAGCTTATCGTGAATCGGCGCAAAATGCCGAAACGAAATCAATAGTCCTTCTGAGCAAATTGTCTTTTTGGATTAACAAGGAGAAAACATCCCATTTCTAAAACATGCGAAAAAATAAATCGGTGCAACATCTACAAATCATCGCATGATGATAACAGCACAGATAGGCTTTCTAACTCTAAAAGGTATGTTATAGATACTAATTATACACATCTATTATAGTAGGATCTAACAAAACTATAGATTCTAACTATAAAAATAATTAGTAAAATTTTGAGTAATTATTTGTGAGCACATGAAATAAATTTTTACCTCTATAGCTCCTATTCTTGTGTTAAGTAATATGTAATTTTATTTAAGAAGTAAGGAGGGAATTTGTACATTCAAAATCTGGAAATGAATAAAAATTAGTGCTTGTTACAGCAGTCAATAGAATTTTAAATTTATGTATTTTCCCTCTTTCTAATATTTTTTATATTATATTTTTTCAGAAAAGTCTACTCATATACCTTTATAAAAGCGGCTAATCAGATAATGACTTTTAATACTTAGCAACGTAAGTTTAAAATGAGTGCTATGACTGGCTTTATCCGGTTATGATATTTTTCGCCATTTGGCATATTTAGCTTATAATTTAAGATATTTTGCTTTCTTACCGTTTTTAATAATGTAAATAGAATCTTAATGAATATAAGTTTATGTTCCTAAAAGAAGGACTTATACAAATGTAGATAATAAATGCTGTTTAAATACAGATCTTCACGACAGATCTAAAATCCCGCTCCCCTCAGAGGGTTAACTGCTGTATGTAGTATTAATTTCTGTCAGCCTCTTAATGATCATCAACGAGCTCGGCTCGTATCCCCGTAACGTACCGCAGTGGGCGCAAACAAACACAGCTCGCATTCCAGATTTTAAATGCTTAAGTTTCCTCTTTGCTTTTTCGGTCAGAATTTATTTGTCAACGCAACAATATGAAATACAAAAATAAAAACATTATTTACTTCACCTAGTGCTTAATAAATCATTTAGTTAAAATTTTAACTGTCAGAAGATGCATGTCCGAGGTATTATTATCTTGCGATTATTTGTAGATGCTTTATTTTTTTATCGCGATATTTTGAACAACTATATTTTAAAACTGCAATGTTTTTGCACTGCTTTATTTTCTGCTACGATGTTTTAGAACTGCAATGTTTTCTCTTAGCTTTTTTCTCTCCTCTGATGTTTTGTATAACGACGTTTTTCTAAGCATTTTTTCTTCCCGACGTTTTTATCAACGATGATTCTGCCGCGATAGTTTCGGCTGACACCTCAAAGACATATATAAGACTACCTTTCACACATGTTGGGAATTGATAGTGCCAACCATTATGTGGTGCTTCAAACATCCTTTCTCCGGAATACTTTGGTTACTTGACTTTAGGAATGCAATAATGAAGGTGTTAAGCCTTAGGATATTGAAGGCGTATGCCTTATAATTTTTGTTGTAAAACAGTATCTTATAATGTAAATAAATTATTTGTATGTGTATCAAACCCAGATGTGAAGATAACTTATCTCTCAAACGAACGGTATCATATATACAACAGCATATGATATTGACATTAAGAAAATACTCTACAAGGAGAGTAATTAAACAAATTGCATTGCTTTAAATAAAATTAAGAAACGTTTTAACATAAAACGTATAAATGATAAACTACTTTTATATAGAATTTAAATGGTTTATTGCATTTATAAAATAAGTATGCATCTTGAGCATTTTGAAGGGAAAACATTGCCTTATATTTGGGCCAGTAATGAACACAGACCTCTTAAAAGAAATTTCAACTGTTAGGTATAAATCTCGAGATAGGTTATAATATCCACTGGAAAACATTAACTGAAGCAAACTATGCTCAGTTATGAAAATTTGGATATATATTATATGCCTAGATTAGTAATTTTATTACAAAAAAAAGGGAGGCTAGGGTCGAAATTCGCGAGCTAATTAGAAAAATTATTAGTTGTACACGTTGTACTCTCAAACATTATTAGTTGTACACTCAAACAGAAATATGGCAGAAAAGGAAGGCTGTATAAACTATATAAACATTTTTTCTCATAACAATTATATTTTTCACGTAACCAATCAGTAATAAAAAAGAAAACACAAAATAAATTAGTAATATTTCAAGTGTAATTGGATCTAGACATTTAACGTAGTTAAAACAGTGTCGGTATTGTAATTAATTACGCTGTTATAGCTTAAAGATAGCTTTCGACTTGAAGATAGGTCTTTTATATGCAAAGCACATTTCCTCTTTATCTTCTTAAATCATTATTTTTAAAGAAACTAATTCGAAAGCTAATTCACTAACTAAAATAAATTATCATACAATTAGGTTTAAAAATATAATGCAATATTTGCTAGAAAAGAAAGTGCTGGTCATTGCCAATGATGTTTAAACAATAGTTTAAATGTAAAACAATCGCATTTGATGATGCAATATATGAAATACACTTTTTCACTGTTGTTTAAAAATATGCGTTACACTTTTTTACTTTTGTTGTCAGAATATCCTCTAAACCGTTTTTTAATTACATAAAATTTAGAAGTAGATAAGAAGCTATGTTTATATAAAAAATATATGATGATATTTGCCTGTGAGAGGCTGGAATGTTTAAATTACGGAAAAGCATGCCGAGGCTATCTATCTAAGGATTAAACTGGCTTGCATTCATGTTATGCATAGAAAGTTCACGCTTTGCCAGGATGTGAACCCGGGAAAGCTTTTAACCAACCTCTTTGCCGTAATTCAAACCTGCATCCAACTGCAAGTTTTGAGTGGTTTTAAAGTTCGCATTTGGATGGGCCTGTCAAAGAGTTTCAAGGCACAGACTTAAAGGTATCATTATACTTAATAATGTTTTTATGGCTTTACTTATACACACAAGATAACACAGATTCCTACCGTCTAAAATGCCTGTTTTCAGCGCTTAGGAAAAGTATCTGGAAAACTTCCAGTCAATTTCCTGAAGCGGTGGCCATTCACAGCTATTACACATGCACTGAAACAAGAAAGATGCTCAGCAAACATACATTAAGCCTTCACCAGCTACCTCTCGAGCCGCGTTCAGATCGTTCGTGTATAGCAATGGCATCATGCAACGAAAACAGACAGGGAGATATCCACAAGGATCATATGTCAGTCCAATCTTATGGAATCAGACCTTCAATAGCATATTAACTACTATCTGGCTCCAGCATACACAAGAAATAGCTCACCGAAATAATCTGAAAACGAGCTAAAGATACACGGATCTCAGACCTGTCAGCAGTTCTATAATCTTTGCAGTGCCTTGAAATTGACCATCTCAGGAGGCAAATTCAAGGTCTTTATTATTCCAAAAAAAAAGTGAGTCAAGAAACAACGTTAGTCCAAAAATCACAATCAACAAAAGCAGGATTAAAACCGTTAAAGAATTAAAATGTCTTGGCCTTACGTGGGATTGAGAATCGACTTGAACTCCCCACATTAAGCAACATACTAACCATATTGCGCAAGAACTTCGACTGTTTCAAGGAAATAATTGAGGACTAAATTCTGCACATTCAAAAGACTCTCTACTTAATGAATAGTTATATATGTCATAAGAATAGTTACACAGTTTGTGCCCAGCCAATGCAAGGCAGAAAAGCAAAACATCTCAACGTTCCATCTGCGCTAAACATCCCAAGGGCATTTCGCATAACAGCAACTGCATCGGTTAATGTCCTGGCAAGTCTAGAACTGTTGCATATTCGTGTTGAGCAAGAAGAAGTAATCCAGTCAATACTTTCATCTTTGCATTCCCACAAGCTTATTCAATCAACGGCATTATCGAAACAATTATGAAATGCGATTGATGACCCAACATGTTCACCCAACACTTTTAAACGGCAAGGCCCAAACATACTTCTGCACCATCATAACAACAAACCCAGCAACAACACTCCGACTATATGCACAGATAGCTCACGCATGGAAGAGAAGGTTAGCGGGTTACTAGTTCATCAGCATGGAGAAGAAACCTTACATCTATAAGAAGCTGCGACTAAGCGATAATAAAAGTGTTTCAGGCAGAAGAAGTATTTATTTCGAGAGCTATCCAGCACATCACTCAGCGAAACCTACAGCACATCACCATCTCCACAAACAGCATGTCGGTACTTCTGTCCATTCTCAAACATCAGCACACGTCTCTATAGTTACAAATCCACAGAGACTTACGGAGACATCGACATCATAATATCACGCTCTCCTGGGTAAAAGTGCATGCTGCAGTGAGTGAAAATGAAGCTGCTGTCAGGTTAGCCAAGGAAGCAACATTAGGAAGCATTTATTATTCAAAAACCAGAACTTTGGTCACGCTTATACTTGATGAGGCCACGCACATGCTACCACATCACACATGTAGACGACAAACTCAACATCACTTCCCCGCAATTAACAAAATTTATTACAGTATATGATCCGTTTATCGAAATTTAATTAAACGGCATCAGCAACGCCGACCTCTGTGTCTGTGGAGAAAGTGGTACCCTAGACCATTATCTTACCATCTGCCCACTTATTAAAGAACACTACCCTAAAATCCCCAGTAACACAGGCCTTCTACAAGTTTATGGTAAAACAATCTCATCTGTTATAAGGATCGCCCAAATTGTCGACAAGCTTACAAAACTTAGAGCTGACCTATGCCCCGTTATATAACGTTTTAGAAAATTTAATTTTATTTAAAAAAAGCTTTTTTTGGTGGGCGCGGTTAATAGGAACATTACTAGAGTAAAAATTTAATAGTCACTCAGTTTGATTCTAGGATTTTAACTCTCTGTATAACTACTATATTTGGATGTTACACAATATAGGTTTATAAATTTCTGTAAAGTCTGTACGTTCTCTAAGTCTGTCCATAAGCTATTTCTTGTGTAAAGTGTATTTGTAATATCTACTACTGAATGTGCTGCTGTGATCTGAGTATCCAAAATTGCGTAATAATTGTGTAAATTATGTAATTATGTCCTAAACTATAACGGCTACAATATCTTACAATGTTATTTGATGTATTTTCTAGTCACAGATATGCGGAGACCACGAGACCTAACCCATTGGTATAATGATGGTGTCTCCTTCTTCCATCAAAGATCAACTGTATGCACAAGAATAACCATAAGAACCTCATGGAGTGAGTCCATTTAATTTATGCGATGATCGGACGAGAATCGGTATTTTCAGCCTGGTACGGCTGTTAACATATCAAACATCAGTGTGTATGTTAACAGTATTGAAACGATGTTTATATCTACATCGAAATTATCGAAAATCCTGAAAAACAGTTCAACAGAAAGAAAAGTACATGCATTTATTCCCTTCTCACCTCTTTCAGCTTAACATCTGAACATTCATAACGGAATACTTTAGAAGCACGGTTGATTTCACACCTTACTTTGCCCTTTCCTACAAAACTATCTATTAGAAGGCATGTCTTTAGACATGGAACAAATTCAGAATCACTGACTGGGCTTGGACAAGCTAATAAGCACCATTTCAAAGTGAATTAGTTTTTCTGTCAGCGAAGTAAGGAGTAACGTCCATGTAACTAACCAGAATAGAACCCAATATGCACTAGCAGTGCTTTATGATTCTAGTTACTTGGGTACTATTCGGAGCATAAAATTTAAGAAACCATCTTTTGTAGACAGTTGCATCACAAAATTGTTTGTGCTGTCTTTCATTAAATATTTTAAACTTCATATCAGAACGTAAACAAGTTATCTTAATTGCATTATTTATCAGAAAGAAATATCAGTTTTTAATTTTGATTTCAAATGCATGCATTAAAATATCATAGTTAGGTTTTATTTGAACAAGACAAATGTTTCTAAACTGTGCCTGCTTAGAAAGAAGTTATTTAATTAAAAAGTCAAACTAAATTTAAATAACCATGTAAATGAATACAGTAAATTATCTAAATATACGCAGCGATTTTGAAGCGAATGAATGCATTAAAATCTTTGAAAAATAAATATTAATTTCCATAATTTGATATCAAGTTCAAGCTCTAAAATACCTGAATTAGTTATTTATATTAATATTAGATGTCAGTCTGACAAGTCAATCAAATTGCAAGACACAGTTTAATAATCGTGCTAGAAGATGTTCAAATTGGGTTGCTGGACCAGAAGTCGTTTTTCAAAATGTGTTAAGTTTTAAGTCAAAAGTTTTCTTACTATAAATGTGTATTCCTTCAATATCAGCCAGTTTCCTTTAGACATTCCGTTATCGTACGTTTGTTGTTATGCTCAGTCACAAACCTTCGCAAATCAAAAAAATCGCATGATATTTATGTTAAATCTCTTTATAATATTATTTATTTAAAAACTCTTAATTCTAACATTATTTTAAAACAAGAAAAGGGATAAAAAATATGAAATCTTTCAGATTTTAAATTACGTCCAAACCGGCGTTTTTTTAAACATTTTGTGTTTTACTTTTATTTATTAAATATCACGTTTTATGTACTCAAACTATGAAAGTTAGTTCAACAGCAATATCGCAAAATGATTTTAAAATGAGTGTATCTTTGGAATTTCGAATACAGTCTCGCGCGATGGAGGTAATTTTTTTTTCTCGTACAGTGTTGACATTGCTCGCTTTGAAATCGTTTAGTTTGTTACTTAAAAATTCGTTGAAAAGTGTTATAAAATATGAAATTGATAATAAAAAATTTTTTTAATTCAAATTAGGGATTCCACATTTCCATATTCTATGGAAGATTATGTTAATCAAATTTTAATGGCTCTAGGTGCCTTTGTTTTATCACAATGCGAGAAATATACATACATTCATGCAGATTCTTCATTATTTAATTTCTTTAAATATAATACAGGTACGATAACATTTGCTGGTAACAATTTGGAAAGTGAAACAACGCTTATCATGAATCGATGCAAAATGCCAAAACGAAAGTAATAGATCTTCTGGGCAAATTTCCCCTTTAGACTAAAAAAATGAAATGAAATTTAAATGAAAAAAAAATTAGGAAAATTTAAAGAATATGATCTGGAAATTTACATTCTTTCCTTCACTGAAAATTCAAAATCTTCCATATTGTTAGTAAATGAAATTGATTCGAGAGCCTTCTTTCTTTTCAAAATTTCAATATAAAATCGGAAAGAAGAAAACTATTAAAAGAAAACGAAATGTAACTTACCGCCTCAAAAGACTTCTCAGCAGTCCAAATGTTTCTATGATACGCACTTCAAAGCAATTAAAATGAAATTCCTAAAAGTTGTATCTTTGAACTTTTCCCCCCTTTGATTAGTAAAACAAACTCAACAGAGCAAGATGAAATGATTGGAACCGTAATTCCGTTAAATATGTTTTGGTAAACCGTTTTCAGTAATACGTTATTCCTCACATGGAGACACAACACACACCGAGAGACGTTGCAAATGCACCTTGTCACGTCGACTGATGTGAGCACCTAATGTCACTCAGCTCGTCTCAGCCGTTATGGGGGCGTGAAGCCAAGCGCAAAGAATGAAATCGAGAAAGCTTACCCTCTAAATGAGTCATTTTTCGGCTTAAATCCGCTTTGAGTAGAGGCCTCGTTATCGTGTATAACCGGTGCTACTTTAAGATTGAGGAGAAAGCCATGGAAGCATAAAGATAATCTTTTGAGTGTATAGGCGGAACAGAGTCTTAAGAGTTTTTATTTGTAGTTGAATATTAAGCAGTGAATGGTTAGGGGGAAAAAAGATTGATTTGCATTAAGTCCTTGGGAATTTCTTTATAACTTATAATTTGATATTAAAAAAATTTGAATTTTGGATGTACTCAATTTTTGCTTCATGGAAGAAAATTGCTATTGCAGATATGAAAATCAAGGACATGGTTAAAAGTGTCTATATAATAAATTAGCGTCGGAGAATTTCTTTAATTTCTTTTACCATTCTTATCTTATGCATATTAGCTTTCGATCGTTTGAAAGTATTACACAGTGCATCTAAAAGTTTTAGCAATAATGGTTTTACGAATTCTAGAAAATTTGTGAAAATGTAACAGACATAATTTATTACTATGACATCCCATTCGCTTTTCTTAATATATCGCATTCTTGCGCACATAATTTTATATGACATCAACCATTTCCTTTGATGCAATGAACATTTTTTGTGACTTATTCGAAAACTTTCCAAGAAACAGCAGTTAAGTTTGTTAAAAGAATTTTAATTTTGGATATACATGATCATACATTTTGAAGCAAAATATTCGTTTCAAAATGTGCGAAGGTAATTTTAAAATGTTGCATAGTTTTGATTTGGAGAAGGGGAAGGGTTAGGATTTGATTAAAAGTAAAGTTTACGCCTCCCTAATATCAAGGTAAAATTTCGTATTCAATGGCATATTTGCTCCAAACACCCTACTCATTTGATCAAAATGGGATTTTTCCAAATATATAACTTTCTAAATAAATAGATAATCCTATTAGCAGAATCGATTGTAATGACCTTGAAAGATGAGATGATGGCTTTTTAAATACTCAGTAGCTTATAAAGTACGCGCACATTTATTGAATCTTGGAACAAATTTATTAACTTTCAGAACACAATTATTTTACAGGCTCAAGTTATACAAAATTACCATACACTTGTGATAAAACTGAGTATAGATGCAGTAATTATACTTGCTTTCGTGACTTAACGAAGTAATGTATAAAACACTTATGATGTTTCAAAAGATTCTCATAAAAGAATTAAGAAAATGATAAGCGTTCATATAAAACTATTAAAAAAGCATTAACAAGGTTATAAAAATGACTTTAAGAGTTTCAGATAAAAAGACAAACTCATTATGCATTACTGATTCATACAAATAGCTAATCCATAATGACAAAAATCTTCCATCAGTACCGCGAATATATAAAAACACCAGCAGAAAAAATTGCAATCGAATAAGTTATTTACTTCGCCGTCGTTTCTGTGGAAAATAGTCTACAGTAAATTAAAAGTAAAGCTCTTCAAAAATTCCAACAGAATACTCTGAGGTAAGTTCTTTCACTTTCTGACCATGTTTCTGGTGGAGTCAGCTCTGGTTTGTAGTCTTAGGAAGAAACATTACGTCACATATTACATTAGTGCATTTTTGGAATCACAGAGGTCAGTCTTTATGAGTCTTGATTGGATCTTTATCTTCAAAATAAGATCCGTCTCCCGTCCTCAATTTTCTTTGGTGGACATTTTCGGGATTGGCTGTCTTCAGGTCATACGCTTGCCCAATATATGACATGAAATCGATGAACAATGTGGTGAAATTGTATTTGTAACCTAATTCGCTGGTGGAATAATCCCATGGAAAAGTGTGATGATAATTGTGGAAACCTTCACCAATGGCTAAAGCAGACACCCACTTCAATTCCGTCGCACTGATGTACTGATCATAAGGTTTGTTACCCCAGAGATGGGCAGCACTGTTGACAAACCAGGTGAAGTGCAAGCAAACGACGTATCTGAAGAATCCAGCACCAAAAAGGCATGTGTAGAATTCTTCTCCCCAACAGTAGTAGGGAATGGCTGGAGGGATGACAAAGCAGCAAATAGCAGCCAGAGGCACATAAAATCTGTAAAAGGAAAATTTTAATAATTACTAATTGGATATAAATATACTTTAGAAACATTTAATTAGTAATTCTGCTGTTCGAAGCTATGATTGATACAATGACTCAAACTGATGAATTGCAGAATATACATCTTCATTTATCATCCATAAGATCGCCCATATCTAAAACTTGCTGAATCATTGTTTCCAAAGGCTTAATTGAGAGATTTCGTCAACAAACTTGTAAGGATCCTAAGTTTTACTAACGTTTATTTTATTTTAAAACTGTACTATCACTTCTTATTTTCTTTTTCCGGCGGGAATTAAATGCTTTAACTTGTTTATGCAAATTGTCTTGCTAACGCCCAAGTACTTAAGTTGTGGCGTTTTGCCAAGAGAGAGAGAGAAGGAGATTTAGGAAGCAAGCCGCTTGCCACTGCAGTTTTACGAGTTTTCACTCGGTTGCTGGTTGCCTTTAAGGCCAGAGGTTTAGCCCTCTTGATATTTCCAAACGTATTGTAATTTCAGCAGCTCGGCGTACTACATACGTACCCCTTTTAAATAGAGGCCAGTCTTAGTGTTAGGCATTTGTATACTAATTCAAAGTTAGCTTTTAGTTAGAGTTTTGGATAGTAGTTTTATATTCTTACGTTCAGACCACAAGTGGTTGGTCTCTGTATCCCGAAGTTCGGGAATACCTGTAAAGTATTGAAAATAAAGGGTTTCCTATATCCTTCCTGTTTGTGTTGTCTACTTCACACATTCTTGAACATAGCTTGAGTAAGCTCCCTGTTCCTATTCAGGACCATTCATGTTTCCAAAGCAAATCAAGAGAAATACAAGTCCTAAAAGTGGCGCACAAACTACAAAAGGGTTGTAGATGATGATTCTCCGCACCCAGGATTTGGCGACTAGGTCCCCTAAAACCCTAGTCGCCCTTTAAAATGGGGAGTATATAAGGTATTTTTCCTACTTTTCTAGTGTGTCTTCGTGGTGTAGTGGTTCAGCACGCTGGGCCGGTATTCCAGAGGTCCGTGGTTCGATTCCCGGCGAAGGCGGTTGCTAATTTTTCATCTCTCTGGCTTCCAAAAAATCCTAATGTCTCTACAAACTGTTTCAGCTTTGGAACAATATTCGTAATTATTATTTTCACCTATATCGACATCTCTCACCTATGGTTGGTTCAGTTTGCCAACTTTGCTCAGTGGTTAACTAAGCATTTCAAACATGTTCTAATGATACAGGCCCATGTTCCAGGTATGTATCAAATATTATTTGTAACAACTTGAAGCGGTAACTTATCAACAGAGCCGGATTAACTAAAAAAAAAATAAATAAAGGTTTTAGAATTTAATGGTCGCTCATAAGGGTTTGTAAAGATTTTTTATGCTCTCGCTGAACTCGAAGTGTACCAGTCTGCTGTTACACTCAATCCTACTACCTCCCCTTATCTTTTTTTGTTAGCTTAGCATCATTTTCTCCGCACTTTCGCCACATACAGTTCAACAACAAAATTACAAAAATTTTAAAACAACAAAGTACTATACGTTTAGAACTCCATATGCAGCGTTAAGTGTTGGCATACATTTTTCTGTTTTTGCAGTTCATCATATCAATGTTCAGTTTTCTTACGAAGATAGCTTTACAAAACTCTTGATTTCTTTTTATTATTAACGTTTTATGTGTTTACTTTATTTATTAAATATCACGTTCTTGGCGCTTACGTCACATAAAAATTTGATTCAACAGCAAAATCTACAAAATATCTAAAAACAGCATGCCTTTAGAATTTCAGACAGACAGTCTCGCTCGCTGGAGATACAAATTTTTTTTCTCCATACTGTAATGCCACTGCTCGTTTTGAAATCACCGAGTTTGTTAATCAAAAATTCGTTAAAGTTTCAAAAAATATGAAACAGATAATAAAACAAATTCGAAATTCAAAATTCGGGCTTCCATGTGCCCATGTTCGGCTGGAGGACTACGTTATTGAAAATCGGAAGGCTATATGTACCGTTGTTTGTTTCAAAATGCGAGAAACATGCCTACATCCATGCCGATGCTGCAATGCAAGAACTTAACACTTGAACAAAAGCTCAAAATTTAGCCTCCTAAATATTTCTGTTCTTTACTTTGAAATTAATATTTAATTCAGTATATTACAATTTTGCATCCATTTTCATATTTACATGAGGAGTGTACCTTATCTGCCCTACTTTCCGTGCTGATCTGGGTTATTATAATCACGCCCAGTGTTCTTTTAACCGAATATTTAATTTTGTTCCTTTCTGTTTCTGTGTTCCCCCTTTAATAAACGTTGGCCATTTTTAATATAATTTATTTAACGTAGTTTAACGCATAAATTAAGGCCGTAACTGGAAGTAATGTATTGAATTACTTACGTTGCCTAGAGCGGCTTAGGTTAGCCGCTCTAGGCTAGAATCTGACATAACGCCCAAATCTAGAAAATCTGACATTACGCCCAAAGGGATATTTTTTAACATTTTGTGCGATACCTTTATTTATTAAATATTATGATCTTCGCACTTAAACCGTAAAATTCAATTCAGCAGCAATATCGCGAAATAATTTTAAAATAAGCATATCTTTAGAACTTCCGATGCACAGTCTCGCACGCTGGAGATAAAAATGTCCTCCCCCCGTACAATGTCACCATTGCTCGCATTGAAATCGTTGAGTTTGTTAATCAAAAATTCATTAAAAAGTTACAAAATATGAAATCGATAATAAAAGAAATTCCAAATTAGGGCTTCCAGATGCCCATATTCTGTGGAGGATTATGTTTTTCAATAGTTGATGGATCCGGGGTACTGTTATTTTATCACAGTGTGAGAAACATGCATACATGTATGCAGATTCTTCATTATTTAATTTTCTTTAAATATAACACAGAGCGATAATATTTGGTGGCAACAATCTGAAAGGTAAAACGGACATTTAAAGTTTTCAACGCAAATTACAAAAACGAAATTAATAGCTCTTCTGGGCTAACGCCCTTTTAGGCCTTTTGGGCTATAAAAAATCAAATTAAGTGCATATATTATACTAAAATTCTGGAAATTACACATGGAGATTGTCTAGCACATTTTCTTTAAAAACTGACGCTTTATGAAATTTATTACCAATTATCCTACTTACGGAGTTCTACTCTAGTCTTAGCAACAGAAGAAGCATTTAAAGCATAATGAGTATAATGCTTCTTACCAGCATGCATCCAAACATAAACGGCTATGCAAGAATGGGCAGGCTCATCCATCTCTTAATGCGGGTACGAATATTTATTTAATTTTTAATGTTAACAGGTAAAGAATATCCAAACTCTAAAAGCCCTGAATTATTAAAAACAAACATAAATTTTCTTAAATTTAATAAATTGCATTTAAAAAATGTAAGTGTACTGCTAGTAACACATGCGGAAACAACAGTGAGGTGGTTTGCAGAACATCGGAATTTACATAAGTAGTTCGAAAAAATATTTGGAAACTCTTGGATTACAGCCATTACTGAGTACATTCTACTGGAACGTGTTATAGAATCAGTTTATTGAAAGCTGTAAGGTAGGCATTCCTTCTAAGATTTCAGCTGATGGTTGACTTATTGTGTTTAGTTTGAGTCAGTCAATAACACTATGTTACAGTATTGCAAACAGAAACAGTTGAATCTATAAAACTTTAAATGCATTTCGTTGAAATATTTAGGACTTTATATAAAATATATTATATTTGCAATTAGCAGAACAGTAACTAAAACGAACTCATCTGCCGACGTAATAATTCATTGATGATTGGTAATGTTTGTTTTCATCTCCAGACACAGCAATGATACAATTCTAACTTTTTAATACATAAGCACTGTTCAAGTAGAATGTAAACGTTGAAAATTGTTTAGATCAGTTGACAATTTGTTTATATATTTATTACTGAAATTTTCAGTAAATAAAATATTTAACCAGACAGTTATACGGAGGATGTTCCCGGATTTTTTAGACGATTTTACTTTGCTATAGGAAAATATTGTCAGCTCTGAAATTCTTTGGAATTGCAAGTATACTTTCCAAAGTATAAATTATGATAATTTTGTTTTCATGAAAATGGCGTTTTTAAAGAAGGCAATGGATGGAAGACAAGTTTGTGTTTTTTCCGAAGAAAATTATGTGTAACTTATTAAAACACGTTGTGAAACTCTCAGCTTTTCGATATCTAAAGCTACATTAAGTAATATTATATAAAATAATAATAATAATAATAATAAAAATCTGAAAGGTTTCAGATTAAAAATTACGTCCGAAGGAGCGTTTTTTTAATGTTTTGCGTGTTACCTTTATTTATTAAATATCATATTCTTCGCACTTAAACTATAACATTCAGTTCAACATTAATGCCTCAAAATAATTTTAAAATGAGCATATCTTTAGAATTTCCGATACAGAGTCTCCCGCGCTGGAGATAAAAATGTTTTTTCTGTACAACGTTGCCATGGCTCGCTTTGAAATCCTTGAGTTTGTTAATCAAAACTTCGTTAAAGATTTACAAATAATAAAATCCATAATAAAACAAATTCCAAATTTCAAATTTGGGCTTTCACATGCCTATATGCGGTGAAAGATTACGTTATTCAAAATTGGATGGCTTTGGGTACTGTTATTTTATCACAGTGCGAAAAACATGCATACATTTATGCAGATTCTTCATTATGCAACAATTTGAAACGTGAAACGACGCTCGTAGTGAACAGACGCAAAATGCCAAAACGAAATTAATAATCCTTCTGGGCAAATTGCCTCTATGGACAAAGAAAAAAAAAGGAGGGGATGGGTGGGAAACTTCAGAGTTTGCCTTCAAGAGGTAAAACTGTTCCAGATTCATGCGCAAGGAAAACACGGAATGTTTCAAATGTTGCAAAGATAAGATGTTTAATGTTAAAAGAAAATCCGCCTAGTCAAAGGACAGTTGCAAAATGAATAAAATTCTCTTTTGAACTGTAAACAAAGTGATTAATGCT